TTCAAAAAGCTTAATATCAACTCTTCTTTCAAGTTGAGGCTTTAAGAGTGGGAAGTGTTAACCCAATGAGCTCTATGTATCCCATCCAGTCCTATTTGAGGCCCACAGATATGACCACAACAGGGAGGTATGGGTCCACTCAGAGCCAGAAAGATGCTGTGATGGAGATCCTTCTGAGCCCCAAACACAATAGACCATTCTAGCTCTAGTCTACTCATGACCTCCCAAATGGTCTTTATGCTTCTATTTCAAAAGCATCCTTTTCCAATGGTCTAGAATGACGAATGGGATCCGAGCTATTCAGACTGACTTTTCCTGGGCTTAGAGAGAAGATTATGAAAATACCTGGTGAAATCATGTTTATTGGGATGATTCAGGGCAGGCTGTCCTGGCACCAGTCTCTCCCATGATCCCCAGCACGGCAACCTGCCTTGTGGTTTTATTTCAGTCATTACATTGCTAAGGAACTTTGGGATAGTCCCTCAAATTCCCAAACCTCCAGAGTCCCCAGCTATAAAACACAGGGATAAGACTTATTGATTATCCCTGACCTAGAGGACAAGTCGACATCATCATTTAATCCAATCTAAGATGGGTGAGTGTGTGCATGTGTGTTTTCATTTGAACGATTATTGACTTCAGCAGATTTTCAGAAAAGTTGGATTTCTATTGGCTTGGTGTTTCCTTCTTGATCTATGAATCAACAAGTAGCTGACAGCTAAGGGAAGAAGGTCATCCTTTGACCTTGGTCTGAGACAATGCTAAGGGAGCTATAGGTAGGAGCAAGGGCTGTGTCTGGAAGAATTCATGTGCCTTATTAAGTGGCTTGGCTATGGTCAGCCTGCCTTCTGGGAAAAGATGATCCTTGATAGCAAAGTCCTTCATATACACTCCTTTCACTCCTTTTCCCCCACAAATCCCTAACAGCCTTTTTAATACAATCTTGGATTTTCCATCTTTTGTTAGCGTCTACCTCTTTGTGTTTTAGCGTAAGCCTGGAGCATAAGAACAGTCTTACGATTTGGGATGAGGGAAAATGCCACAGCCTTATGGCAGTCTTTAATGCCATAAGTATATAGTGGTTCTTCTTTTCCCTTGGTCAGTTACCCCTACCCTAATTTCATATTTCCATAGCACCCTGGGCATCCTCTCTCATAATAGTGTAAACCTTCTCTATACGTATTTCTTGTGTTTCCCACTAGGCTGGGAGCCTTATCGAGGCAGCTTCTCTCTCTCTCTTTCATATCGCTTTCAATTGCCATTTGGTCATCTATACATATAGTTGTGGAATAAAAGTCAGAATGAGGGCGCCTGGGTGGCTCGGTTAAGCGACTGCCTTCGGCTCAGGTCATGATCCTGGAGTCCCAGGATTGAGTCCCACATCGGGCTCCCTGCTTAGCAGGGAGTCTGCTTCTCCCTCTGACCCTCCCCCCTCTCATGTGCTCTCTCTCTCTCAAATAAATAAATAAAATCTTTAAAAAAAAAAAAAAAGATACGTGATTGACTCTAGAGCAGTGTTCTATTCATTCCTGTATCCAGGGACACTAGAGATTCTTGTCCATCTTCCATCAGTGGACCCACATTTCATATATTTCCTTGGCCTTTATTTCCTGCCTGGATGACAGATGACAAAGTATGATTACCTTGTCCCATAGGATATTTTCACAATTAAAAAAAGTGATTTCATGTATCTCATATCTGAAAATGACACATCCTTACCCCCTTGAGAAGCTAATCATATGAACTCACCTCTCCCCATGCCAGTTTGTCACACAAAAGCCTGAGGAGATCCCCCCCCAACTTTATTTCCAGAAACATTTGAGGACAAGCACCTGCCCTGGTTTTCCACCTTCTTTGTCTTCCATGTAAACTTGCAGGAGTCAGAGCTCCAGGCACAGAATTCATAGCTCAGAGGCTTGAAAACTTCGCTCCCATTTTATGTCAAGAGGATCTGTTTGGTTCTGTTGTATCTAAAAGAACCTTGAGTGTGGAGCAAGGGAAAGGCCACAGGGAGGAGAACTTGTCTGTGTGTGGGGTGAATGGGGGGTCCTGACCAATAGGGAGAAGGTTTACATTTGAATTCCTGAAATCCAACCAGTCCTGTGCTATGGAGGGCTTTTCTTCTGGCCTGAGCTTTGAGATCAGTGCTGGTTCATATTCTCTTAACATTCTCATAGTTGTCCAGTCTGAGTAAAGATATAATCTTGGAACATTATAAAGGCATGTTGTTATGGAAGGGGTATTAAGAACCTCCTCCCTTCTCCTCTTCTTCCTCCTTCAAATTCATCATCATCAATATCATCATCTCCATCATCATCACCACCATCATCACCATCACCATCAGCACCATCATCACCATCACCATCACCACCATCACCATCATCACCATCATCACCATCACCAACATCACCATCATCACCATCACCATCAGCACCATCATCACCATCACCATCATCACCATCACCAACATCACCATCACCATCATC